ACCCCACCCCACCCCACTCCACTCCACTCCATTTTCTATTCTATTCTGTTCTGTTCAGGTTCTGAGGTCTTTCCTGGAGATTGGCATCAAGTGTCCTGAAGAAAAGGTGGATCCTGCAAATTCCTCTCACAGTCCATGTCTCAGAAGGATTTCCAAGGAGGATGGTCAATATCAGGACAACTCAATAGGTAAGGAAAGATCCTTCTACATTGGAAGTTTTCCACAGAGATTCTGTTCATTCTCCGTTTTCTCCGTCTTCTCGTGTGTAGCCATTGGACTTTATGGAAGGTGACCCAGCAACAAATACTTAACTCTTCTCCTGATAGTAGTGCCCCAATATTTAAGTACCTGCCACAAGGGGGTCAACCTACTTTCCAAATCACCTGAAGACAGGATAAAAAGCAATAGATGAAAACTGATCAAGGAGAGAACCATCTTAGATATAAGGAGGAATTTCCTGATAGTTAGAACAATTAACCAGTGGAATGGCTTACCTCCAGAATTTGTGGATGCTCTATCAGTGGAGGTTTTCAATAAAAGATTGGACAGCCAATAAAAGATTGGACAGCTAAAAGGGTATAGGGTAGTGATGGCTAACTTTTGGGGGGCTCCTGTGCCAAAAATTGTATGCCAGCACCCACTTGCATGCCAGCACCCAGAATGCAATGCACAGCCCCCCCCCCCCCCATCCCCTGCACATGCGTACACAATCCCAACTCCCACCTGCTTACCTGCACTGTACCTCACAGCTGATTTTTCGGCTGGTTTGAGGCCTTTTTCAGCCTTCCACAGGCTTGGAAAAAGCTTCAGCAAGGCTTTTCAGGCCGAATTATAGGCCTGTTTCCTCACTATTGTTTGGCCTAAAAAGCCTTCCGGAGGCTTTTTCCAAGCCTCCGGGAGGCCAAAAAAGGCCTCAAACCAGCCGAAAAATTAGCTGTGAGGCATGTGCACGCACAGTGAGGTAATTTTGCCTGTGACTCGCATGCCAGCACAAATGTGTGCCACTTGTGGCACGCATGCCATAGCTTCACCATCACAGATATAGGGTCTCCCCCTTGTACAGGAAGGTGGACTAGAAGACCTCCAAGGTTCCTTTCGACTCTGTTATTCTAAAGTCCCACAAAGGAAATCTGTCCCTTCACACCACATACTACCTTCCTTTAATCCACGTTTGCAAAAATTAACTCTTCTGGGGATTTCCTGGGTTTGTTCGTTTGTTTATTTTTTTTATTTATCTTACTCAGTTTGTCAAGCATGCATGAGAAAACAAGTATAAGTATGGACATAACATATAAACATATAACTATAAACAGGTATAAGTATATACATAATAAATGAGTACAAATAAATGGGAACATTAGGACAGGGATGGTAGGCACGCTGGTGTGCTTATGCACACTCCCTTACAGGCCTCTTAGGAATGGAGTGAGGTCCACGGTAGACAGTTTAAGGTTAAAAGTTTTGGGGGTTTGAGGATGGAACAACCGAATCAGGTAGTAAGTTCCTGGCATTGACCACTCTGTTGCTGAAGTCGTATTTTCTGCAATCGAGTTTTGAGTGGTTTACTTTGAATTTGTATCTATTATTTGCCCGCGTGTTATTGTGGTTGAAGCTGAAGTAGCCGTTGACAGGTAGGACATTGTAGCTGACACTTTTGTGTACTAAGCTTAGGTCAGACCATAAGCAGCGTAATTCTAAGTTGTCTAGGTCCAGTATTTCAAGCCTGGTGGCATAAGGTATTCAATTGCGAGCGGAGGAATGGAGGACTCTTGTAAAATACCTCTGGACTCACTCAGTTGTATTCATGTGAGGTACTTCTTTTTATTTTCAGAGATGAGAACAGCCTTTGGTCTTTTTTTCAGAGGTGATTTTGAGTAAATCTTCATACACATCCTTGCTGGATTATTTACAACACCACCTCTCCTTTCTGGCATGTTCCAAGTTTCATTCTTGGATCCAAAGATAGAACCCATGAAAGGACACTGAAGACTGAGGTTAAGATAGAGAAATGGAGGTGTCCTCCACAAGACAGGAAGAAGTCATGACTTCAGACTACAAAATGTGGAATTAATCCCTTTCTTGCTTCTGTCCTGTCTTTCTCCTTCCCAGGGAGCCAAATGGAGCCACCGTTGTTCATCGGTTCCTCTCCTTGTACTGATGGAGATGATGAATCTCCAGCTCAGGTAGGAAAGAAGAGATCTGGAGCTAATATTGGGGGGCAGTTGGTGACTGCTTTGCGGGTCATTTGAGGTCTCAGTGTATGATACTGCTTATCATATACATGCAGGAATTGGTTATGGCCAGTCTAGAGAAAACAAGGATTAGGGGTGACATGATAGCAGTATTCCAGCATTGATCCAGGAAGGGGCGTAACTGGTACACATCCGAAGTTGAGCAGACACCTTCCTAGCCATGACTGCCACCTGCACGAGTCAGGAGGACCCCCAGATTACACGCTAGGTGCTTCTCGGGCAGTGTAAGCCCATCCAAGCCAAAGATGTTAAACCACCATATTTGGAGGACTCTCCTATCCACAGTCAGTCATCTTAACAGGTTCAATTGTAGCCGTTGTGGTCCGCCGGTGGCCTGCGGAGCTCGCAGCAGAATCAGACAGTGGGAAGGAACATGGGCCAGTGCTGGAGTCTGGGGAGGGCTCAGATGAGGGATCTGCGTCTGACACAGATGGGGCCGGGGCCATCTGAGAGTTATATATTGACTCTGGAGCCTCCAGAATCTGACATCAGTGAGGCAGAGGAACAGGGGGAGCCTGTACCCAGTGCATGCTTGCGCAGAGCTGCCAGAAGTCAAGAACAGTTAAGACAAACGGGGTGACTCGGGAGTAAGGCTTGGAGATGATTAGCCCTCCCATAAGAGCTAAAGGAGGATCAAAGGGACATGAGCCTTTGCAGGAAGCAACTTTGTTTGTTCTGGTCAGTTTAAACTCTGAAACTCCGTGTTGACTTTGTGCTCCATTTGGCCTTGTACAGCTAATTGGCAATTTAGTCATTGGCAGCATTTCAAGGGAGATAAAGGTGGGTGCTTATCAGCCTTATCCCGAAAGACTGTGACAAGACTTCTGTTAGGCTATTCATAAACTGTTTGGGACTCGTTACGGGCTGTGAATGTATATAATTCACAGCCGTTGAAATAAAAAAAATGTTTTTTGGAAACAGCATGTGATTGTTACTGTCTCAGAAAGCCTTGGTCAGAACAGTAGCCTATTGTCCCCCATCCAAATTCCCACAGCCTCCACGCATCAAGAGAGCACATCCACGGCATCACTTATTTCACCCAGACAGAGATGTACATTTGGATATCATCTGCATTCCGATGATACCTCATCCCATAGCTACAGATGATCTCACCCAGCAGATTCATAGAGATGCAAAAAAAATTATATCCAACAACCAACCCTAGAGGGAGCATTGAGCCCTGCAGCACCTTACAAAGCAGGATCACAGGCTGGACTTCTCTATTGACTGGAATCGATCCCAGAGGAAGAAGGTAAAGCAGCATAAAACTGTGCCACTCATTCCCAGTTCCCGAAGTCAACTCGAAAAGGTACCGTGGTTGATGGTATTGAAAGCTGCCGAGAGATCAGGATGAGCCATAATGGTTGCACTATCTCCATCCTGCTCCTGCCAGAGATCATCCAGAAGCATAACTAATGTTGGTTCTGATTCTGTTCCTTCCTCGTTCAGGGTCCTGTTTCTTTTGAGGAGGTAGCCATCCATTTCAACAATGAAGAGTGGTTGCTACTAGATCCTAACCAAAAAACCCTGCACCGAGAGGTCATGTTGGAAACATCTAGGATTGTGGATTCTTTAGGTAAGGGTTCCTTTAGAGGAAAATTAAGTCAAACTGGAGAGACACTAAATGGCTTATTTACATATTAGGAAATGATGTTAAAATGAATTCTTTTGTTTTTCCTTATATTAATTCCTCCACCTCCATGGTTGTCCAAGTACCACAGTTCGAAGAAAGAGGTTAGTCTGATGACCAGTCAGTCTAGAAAGTGTTGATATGCAGTCTTGGGATGTTCCTTGGGCCCCATGAAGTGCTTAATAATAATCATAATCATAATCAGGAAGGGGGTGTTTGCTTATTTCACACGCCCTAATCAGCACCATACTTCCTCTTACAAAGATATTGCAATGAGGTGTATATTGTGGCATTGGATGCAACATAGGTACTGTTAGGGATACACCCTAGCAGAATCTGCATGGCAGTCAGGCAGGCAGGCAAAATATGTGAGATAAACGTTTTTGTAGCTTACACTCAGTAAAACAGATACACTGTGCTAGTTCAATAGTTTATTCCAGTAAGAGTTATAGCATAGTCAAAACAGTCCATATATCATTTACTAATTCAGTCCGTCCGGGGATTATTCAGTTGCAAAGTCCAGTGTCGAAAAAGAGGTCAGTAAACTTACAAATATCAGTCCAGTAATATATCTCCTCGCAGTAGAGATATGAAGAAGTCAAAACTCCCTCCTTCAGCAGTAGGAAACATGCAGTTAGCAAACCATCAATCCATCAAAACAGCAATAGTCAGCAATCCAACAGGTTCTCTTGCTCCCTCTTATGGCGGTTTCACAACCACACCCAAAATTACATGCTTTGCAGTTTAAAGTGACACACACTTAAACTTACTATCATAGTTTATATATATTATTTTACCCAAACTACGTTAGGTAACCTTGTTATTCCTAACAGGTACATCACATCTGACAAAGGTGTGTGCACTATATCATTATGTTAAGATCTGAGCTGCAGAGCACTGATTGTTGTTATCATGTTTTAAGTTGTTGTAAACCATCCAGAATTACATGAAACAAGCAATCATGTCAACCTTTTGAATTAATATTATTCATGTTGTCATCTACCTTGTTGCTCCCCTGTAATTGCCAAAGAATAGATACAGGCTAGAGACTGTCATGGGAACAGGAAGCGGTACGTTGAAGTCTTTTGTGATTTCTTTTTCTTCCATTTCAATCAGTTGAGGATCCGGACACTGAAAATTACCAAGAGCCAGCTGTGGTGCCATCACCAATAATCAAAATTGAAATACAAGGAGATACGTCTTCAGATAAGTGCGGAAAAGGAAGATATGAGGAAAACCAGTCTTACAGTTGGAGAGAAAAAGCCATTCTCAAATGCACAGAAATGGATAACTTCCTGACCCAACAGGATTGTAAAGAAAGCAGAATGGGAAAGCGTCGAGGAAGTGGCGAAATACTTCAAGCGAAACCCAACTTCAGTAACCAGCGCAAAACTGGAAAGCATTTCAGTCATCAGAGCAACGTTATTCCCCGTAAAATGATCCACGTGAGGGAGAAGCCCTATAAATGTGTGGACTGTGGAAAGAGCTTTAGGTGGAGAGGAAATCTAACGATCCATAAAAAGATCCACTCGCGGGGAAAACCCTACAAATGCGCGGACTGTGGAAAAAGCTTCAGTATGAACAGTTCCCTTACTTCTCATAAAAGGATCCATACGGGGGAGAAACCCTTTCAATGCACAGTGTGTGGGAAGAGCTTCAGTTTGAACAGGTGCCTTGTTTCTCATAAGAGAACCCATCTAGGATTGAAACTTTATATATGCAATGAATGTGGGAAAAGTTTTATTTTCAGCAGCTCCCTTACTAATCACATTGGTACCCACACCAGAGAGAAACTATATCACTGTACTGACTGTGGGAAAAGCTTCCGGTGGAAAAGTCACCTTACTTCCCATGAAAGGATGCACACAGGGGAGAAACCCTATGAATGCAAGGACTGTGGGAAAAGCTTCAGTATGAACAGTTCTCTAAGTTCTCATAAAAAGATCCATACAGGAGAGAAGCCCTATCAGTGCATGTTGTGCGGGAAGAGCTTCCGGTTGAAAGGTCACCTTACTTCCCATAAAAGGATGCACACGGGAGAAAAACCATACCAGTGCATGGATTGCGGAAAGAGTTTCAGTATGAGTAGTTCTCTGACTTCTCATAAAAGGATCCACACCGGAGAGAAACCTTATAAATGTCTGGAATGCGGGAAAAACTTCAGCAAAAGCAGTATTCTTAATTCCCATAAAAGGATCCACACAGGAGAGAAACCCTATCAATGCCTGGATTGCGGAAAGAGTTTTAACAACAGGAATCACCTTACCTCCCATAAAAGGGTCCATACAGGAGAGAAACCCTTTAAGTGCACAGAGTGCGGAAAGAGCTTCAGTTACAGCGATTCTCTTACTTCTCATAAAAGGATCCATACAGGAGAAAAACCCTACAAGTGCATGGAGTGTGGAAAGTCCTTTATTCAGAGCAGTCACCTTACTTCCCATAACCGAATACACACCGGGGAGAAACCATATAAATGCACGGAGTGCGGAAGGAGCTTTAGCAGCAGCAGCTCCCTTATTTGCCATAAAAGGATCCATTCGGGGTTGAAACCTTACGTATGCAAGGAATGTGGGAAGAGTTTTATTTCAAGCAGCTCCCTGACTAATCACATTAGTATCCACATAACTGAGAAACTGTACCAGTGCGCAGAGTGCGTGAAAAGCTTCAGGTGGAAAAGTCAACTGATTTCCCACAAGAGAATACATACAGGAGAGAAACCCTATCAATGCGCGGACTGTGGAAAAAGTTTCAGCCTGAACAGTTCCCTTACTTCTCATAAAAGGATCCATACGGGAGAGAAACCCTACAAATGTGCAGAGTGCGGAAAAAGCTTCAGCAAAAGCTGTAACCTTACTTCCCATATCAGGATCCATACGGGAGAGAAACCCTATCAGTGTACAGAGTGTGGGAAGAGCTTCAGTTTGAACAGTTCTCTTACTTCTCATAAAAGGATCCATACAGGAGAGAAAAAAATATACATTAACGATGTGTGGAAAGAACTGAATGTGGAACAATCAATTTATTTCCCATAAAAAGACCTACATGTGGGAAGATGCCCTTAGTGATTGAAGTGTCCTTAATTCCTATGAAACAATCCATTGTGATGTCAAACATACACTGCAAAGACATGGAATGCAGAGAACTTCAATCGAGATTTTTGAACTGATTTTTCTTAAGGTGCCATTTGAAGGAAATAGGATGTAAGCAATGTAATGTGTGAAGATTTTTTTTTTAATTGTTCCTTTGAGGTAGTTTTTTCCGCAGGATTTTTGCCAAAGTTTTTGGAAGTGGCTTGCCATTATGATCATCGTAGGGCTGAGAGAGTGACTGGCCTAAGGACCCCTAGCTGGCTTTGTGCCTAAGGTCCTGTGAAAGGATCCACACAGGAGAAACCCAGAAATGTGTGTATGGAAGAGAGATTGTAGAATAGCAGTGTTACATTCCATGAAAGGAGAAACTATAGAAATGTAAGAAATGTAAGAATTTCAGTACAAGGTGCTCTTATTTCCCAGAAAAAGTTTCATGCAGGAGACAGTATAGTATGCCGTATTTTTCTGTATATAAGATGCACTCCCCCCCCCAAAAAGTGAGTGGAAATGTCTGTGTGTTTTATATATCAAAAACACCTCCATTTTGACCTCTCAAACCCCTCCACATGTCCCATTTTTGCCCTCTCCGGCTTCCAGAAGCACTCTGAGGCCAAAAATAGGCACGTTTTTGGCCTCAGGAGGCCTCCACGGATCCTATTTTTGCTCTCCCCAGCGTTCAGAAGCACTCTCCAGGCCAAAAATGGGAGGGCAAAAACAGGACCCATGGAGACCTCTGGAGGCCAAAAACGTGTCCGTTTTTGGCCTGGAAATTGCTTCTGGATGCCTGGGAGGGCAAAAATGGGATGTGCAGAGGCAAAAAAAACCATTTTCTTCTTCTCCTCCTCTAAACCAAAGTGCATCTTATAGTCCAATACATCTTATACTTGGAAAAATACGGTAAATATATGAAATCCATAGAAAATCACCCTGTTGATCTGTCTCACCTCCCAGAAAAGGATCCGCTTTAAGGATGCAGAAGTACAAGAATCCTGTGAAAAGAGGTTGAGATAGTCTTTCTTCATTTGGAGGATCACCACAGGAAAAACTGAATAAATGTATGGATTATGGAAAGAGCTGCCAGGATATATGTCTTAATTCCAGAGGTATTACCTCCTAGTTAGGTCCGGCTCATGAGAATTTCTTATTAGTGTCCCATTTATTACACCAAAATCTCTGCCTGGTCATATGGGTTTATCTGGGCAGAAGTAACATCTGAAATCTGGGATCAGGCTCCAGGCTTTGTGGAGAGCTGTGCAAACAAAACAGGGGAAAACTTTTTGTGCATTTTAGTGGTAAGTACTGAAAATACCTACTTTCCTTAAACACATTACAAAGTATTAAAGTTTTGTTTTAAAATCAGTGAAAATCTCTCCCAAATGTTTATTTGACTGTTTAGCTTAGTAGATCTCTGGGTGCAAAATTACATTAATTCTGCTGAAAACAGTTCAGTGTATAATTGCAGCTGTGGCCTCTTTACTTTGAAAAATGGTTTATTGATTCCACAGTGTACCATATGAGCAATATTTTTAAATAAAGAAGCGAGTTCAACTGAACTGTTTCTATTTATGTCTTCAATTCTGAGCAAGGCAACCAGAATATTTGTTAGTCTTTTATCATAGAACAGAATAGAATTCTTTATTGGCCAAATGTGATTGGACACAGAAGAAATTTGTCTTAGTGCAAATGCTCTCAGTGTACATAAAAGAAAAGATACATTCGTCAAGAGTCAAGAATCATAAGGTACAACACTTAATAGTTATAGGGTACAATAAGCAATCAAATCCTACTAGGAAACAGTTAATATAAATCATAAGGATACAAGCAACAAAGTTATAATCATACAGTCACAAGTGAGAGGGGATGGGCGATAAGGAGTGATGAGAAGATTAATAGTAACAGTAGTGCAGACTTTGTAAATAGTTGGACAGTTTTGAGGGAATTATTTGTTTAGCAGAGTGATGGAGTTCGGGAAAAAACTGTCCTTGTGTCTAGTTGTTCTGGTGTGTAGTGCTCTATAGCGTTGTTTTGAGGGTAGGAGTTGAAACAGTTTATGTCTAGGATGTGAGGGGGTCTGTAAATATTTTCACAGGCTTTTTTGACTTGTACAATATGCAGGTCCTCAATGGAAGGCAGGTTGGTAGAAATTGTTTTTTCTGCAGTCTTAATTACTCTCTGAAGTCTGTCTGTCTTGTTGGGTTGCAGAACCAAACCAGACAGTTCATGAAGAAATAACGTTCAGCTCAAAGGGAATTCTTTGTGGGTTTTTTTGGTGTTATATTCCAGAACTACTGTTTCTCAAGCGTTTTAATGTCACTTTAGTGCCTCTATATTAGTTAAGGCAGATTCCTGAATTTGCGATATCAAGATGATCAGAAAGGTCAATCCTATTTGAAGTTTGAGAGGGCCAAGCCATTACAAATTTGAGAAGCCTTGTCTGACATGATTTTGACTCTGTGCTTTTAATCTTAATGTAGCTTCTTTAAAAAAAGTTTCTGTATATCTTGAGTATTAATTGTATTCTTTTGAAGGGATAATATAGTAAAATATTTGGAGCAGGTGTAGTGTAAATGTTGTGTAATATACACCAAGGAAGCTAACAGAAAAAAAAGTTTAATATGTTCCAAAGGTGCTTTTTCAGGAGGGAACTTTCTTGTTTTTTCTTTGAAGACATTTGGCTATTCATCTAAGAAGCTTCTTCAGCTTTGACAGGATAGTGGGGAATGGACGAATTTATATTCTTTGCAGACAGCTGGTGATTTGCATCTTTTAGAGGGTCTCATCCAATAACATCTTCATAGAAAAAAAAAGCCCAGTTGCCTCCTGAAAAAGCACCTTTGGGACAACCATGACTTGGATGACTGAGAATCTCTAGACTTTTAGTTTAATGTGTTGGAGAATTGTCAGTGAGGGGAACAGAATGAAATAGACCTAGAAATTTGTAGAAAGAGGTGGAATGCCTTCAGATCTGATGTGTTTCAAAGAATTCACATTGCAGAGACAATGATGCATTAAAATCCATGGAATATGAGAAAGATATTAGCAAACAGATCTACCTATTAACAAAGCAACAAAGTTTATAAAACATGAGAACTCTTCTTATATAAATGTATAGCATTTGTTAGGAACTTTCATATTTGCGTCATTTTTAATATATACAGAGAGAAATCGTGTGAATTTAAAGTGCTTTAGTTGAAGCTATCATTTTGTTTTACATCAAAGGACTCAAGGGGGTACCAGAGAACTGAAATTTTTAGCAACTTTCTATAAACTGAAGGTACATTTGAGTGGTTAAAAATGATTTGTTTAATAATTAATTTCTACACTTGTGATTTCTTTGGCAAGAGGGGGATCTAAACAATGCCCTGCCCAGAGGAGGGTGTGACCCACAAGCAATAGGCCCAAGTTTGGGAAAGCAAGAAGCAGCTTCTTCAGAGATTCAGTTGAGTAATGGGAAGTGGAAAGAGAGAAAAGGGAGACTTCAGGTCTGTCTCAGAAGCTCAAAAGATGCCCTGATTGTGAACTTTCCAGTGCTGCTGGATGCTGGCCAAAGGCTTCATGTTCAGCCAGGTAGAGGAACATTGGAAAGGGCATCTGGTGAGTTCTTTTGCAGTCAACAAGTTCCGCAGGTCATTTTCTTTTCAGCCAGAGCTAAAAATGAGGCTGTTTTCCAAGCTGTGTGCCACTGCTGGTATGCAGAACAGAAATCAATGGATGGTTTGACATTTGAATTTCATGCTGTCACCTCAAGTGCCTTGAGCGACCAGATGCAGATTTTGTCCAAGCCAATCTTTCCTTAATGAGGTCCTTTACCAATGATGCTCCACCAGGAGACCCCCGATACCACAAAGCATGATGAGGAAGTCTAAAAAATAATAAAAGACAGGCAATCAGAATAGAGCTGATAGGGACTTGCAAGATCTTCTAGTTCAACCCCCTGCCCAAGCAGGAGATCCTATACCTTTCAGATAGGTGGCTGTCCAGTCTTTTCTTAAAAACCTCCAGTGATGAAGTACCCACAACTTCTGATGGCAAGCTGTTCCACTGGTCAAGTCATCAATATTAGTTTCTCTTAGTTCTAGGTTGCTTCACTCTTTGATTAGTTTCTGTTGTTTCTTGTCTTGCCTTCTGATGCTTTGGAAAATAAGTTGAGCCCCTCTTCTTAGGGGCAGCCCCTCAAATACTGGAATTCTGCTATCATGTCATCCCTAATTCTTTTTTTTCCCTCTAGACTAGCCAAAGCCCTCAGGAAGAAAAATCACACCTCAGCTGAGGAGAACCTGTTGACTGTGTTTTCCTGCCCAAATTTGACAGGCACTTTTCTCCTGCCATTGACTCTCCAGGCTCATGTGATCCGGCAAGCTTGCCCCCTTTCCCAGCGGGTTTAATAAAGACCCACCAAAGCCCTCAGGGAAAGTTCCCAGCCAAGAAGTGTAGGTGATGTCGTATCCCTTCCCCCTCTGTTGAGAGGTCTGTTCAATTTTGACATAGACGGCTTCTTTGACCCCTCTTTCAAACCAGCGGTCCTCTCTGTCTCATATGTGGACTTGGCTGTCTTCAAAAGAGTGGCCTGTATCTTAAATGTAGGTGGACTGCTAAATCTTGTCCTGATGGGTTTGTTCTCCTCTGTTGTGCCATGCGCTTATGAAAAACCAGAAAGTCCAGTTGCCTCTTGAAAAAGCACCTTGGGGACAACCATGACCTGGATGACTGAGAATCTCCACAGACAACGCAATTAAATGCTTCAAGAGACCTCCTAAAAGGACAAATATTTATGTTGGCCAAGGACTCCAAGTTTCCTCTCCGACAGGGCACGAATGAAAGCCAACCAGGAGATCCAAGATCCCCTCAGAGTCAGGAGGAAGATTCGCGCCCAGCGTAGAAGCGGCTTTGAGGCGATCCAGCGATTCCCTTTCCCGCCCAACCTGACAGGCGCTTCTTTCCCGTCATTGGCTCGCCAGGATCACGTGAGCCGAGGGCTCCTTCCCCCCCCCCTTCTCTCCCCTTCTCCTGGGTTTCCTCCTTACCACGGTGGGAGGGGCAGCTCCACTCGCACGGAGGGCGGACTGAGCATGCGCGCCTCCCAACGGACCTCGCCGAACGTCTGGCCTCTCTAGGACTCCGCGCTCGCTCGCTGTAACTGTTTCGTTTTCGCAGAAGTCCGGCACTTAAGGGAGCCACCGGACACGTGCAGAGCCATCTCATGGGAACCGAGGCGACGAGAGGGATGGAGGACGTCAAATCAGAGTCAGTCTTCCCACTTCTGGGAGTGCAGGGGGGAAATGAAGATCCCAAACTCGACCAGGAAGGAAAAGTCTAAGCTCGCCAGAAGGGAGGAAGATCCGGGGGAGCATTTAGCACCCCCTTACCCCAATTTCCTGGATAAAGCCTTGAGAAGAGACAGGGACGGGGACGGGGGGGTTGCATTACAAACTCAAGCAGGAAAATTAAACGTGCAGAAATTGGGGTGCATCACATGTGCTCCCAAATGGGGGTTTAACCCCCTTCCTCCCAAAAAGGATGGAGACTTTTCAACCCCTTGAAAAAGCGGGCACCCAACCACCAAGTGACAGAGGGTGGACACCCTGGAATCGGTGGGGATTTTTTTTTTTTAAAAAAAAGACAGGCTGGAAACCAGTCAAACCAGAGAAGGGAGAAGAAACCCCTTAATCATATCATTATCTCCATTTATTTTTTTATGATGAATCATTTTTAATTACTATGAAAATGATCTATCACCATTGTTGTATGTACACCGAGATCTTATTCACTGGAGACAAATTCCTTGGGTGTCTAATCACACTTTGCCAATAAAGAATTCTATTCCTAATCTTATTCTATTCTGTATTCTACTCATTCTATATGTCGAAATCCCAAAACAGTCCAAAGGAAAGAGCCGGGAAGGCTGCTGGAAGATGCTGAGACTGAAAGCAGCTTCATGCATAAACCTTGTGCAACAATATGAATGCAGAGAATTGGTGGAAAGTTGCAATTCTTTAATCAA